CAGTTAACTAAAGGTTCCCTATTACTATTATTATTAGTTTTCGATTTATTTGATTTTTTAAGGAAAAAAAGTCTCCAAGAAATTAATTGTTTACTCTTGTTTGAATAATTTTTAATGAACTAATTTTTTTTTTCTTATGTGGGACATCCTGTATACATCTAACAAATTTTAAATTGTAGCCGTCTGTAACCTACGTATTCCTCCCAAACGAATTTTTTATATCTTTGGTCGTTTTCCCATACAGCTCCGTCCCGTTGAGCGTGAGCCACCCTGTATAGTGAACCATTAAATATCAGACAATTCAGAATATTCGCACACTGGAATTTTTTATTTGCTGAAAAATTATCGATATTTTTTGTGGTTATTTTCGAATACCTACTTACTTTCATTGGCAATTGCTTAATGAAAGTAAGCATGAGAAAACCACCGTAAAAAATATCCTGGTAGATATGAGCTCGCATGGTATTTGGTAAGACCATTCCATGAATAGAAAAATTAATTCATTTAAACTTTATTTTTTTTTTTTGTATTTTTCTGGAGTTGATTTTTCAATATACTGTGATGTTTGTTTATTTTCAAACAACAGTTTATTTATTAATAATTTATTTAAACACTTATTTATTTTATAACACAACTATTTTAATTTATATATACTTCGAATATCTTTAAACTGATCACTATTTATATTCACCAGTGTCTATCTACTAATTACTATTTATCTTCACTGTCCATATACTAACTGATAACTGATGGCTCTCCTCCACCAATTTATATACAAATTGGTTGTCTAGAATGCTCCCCCACTAAAATTGCCAGAAGGTACCAGAAACGTTATCACGTTATATTTAGACTAGAAATAGTATCTCGTTGACTCTGGAATGTTCGTGAAAGTGTTTCCACCATAGTCGTCCCATAGGTTTGGTCTTAAGGGGTTTGATTATATATAATAAGCGGACAAGTTGAGCCTCAAAGGCCAAATAATACAGAGAGGGACTTGGACTATTAGAGCATGACTGAATAATGAAATGGCTCACATTACAATACTTATTGAAATATTACAAGGAATATTGATTGCTGTTTAATTCTGTTTTTGACCTTTACAATTGTCAAAATGATGTGACGCCTAATAAACGAACAATAAATGCCAGCGTTGCTATGGTAACGTAATTTATCCGATATTGTTATCCTCTTGCATTTCTGTTTCTTCCTATTTAGCCCATAGTAAACTACGATTTTTGTACTCACAAATGGGAATTATTATAGCTACATATTTAATATGGTTCACTATATATTGTAATCTCAAAAACGAATCATACTAAAATTATGAAATTGTATGAAGTTATTAATTGCTTAAAGCTAATAACAAAAATAAATAGTTCGTACATTTTGACGGATCGAATTGAAAAATATAGGGTGATTCTGAAAAAGGAATGTTTCTCTAATTATTGATGCATCAAAAACGAATTAGATGTGTCTATCACCCTGTATTCCATAAATAGTATTGTTTTCTAGGTATTAAATGCATAATCAATATTAATAACAAATTCCTTAATATACAGAGTGTAATTTTTTTTAAGAAACGCCTTTCTGTCAGAATTTCAAAAATTCCCCCTGATGTAACTGAGTACCACCCTGTATATGTTTACATTTTGAACTATTTATGTATACGTTTGCGTTAGACTAGGACATATTAATGCTACAATCAACTAAAAATGCTTATTTTTGTTCTTTTTAATTAAGTTACGTAGTTTCAAGAAATACGATTTCTCGACTTTAACACCCTGTATTTTAAAAACTAGCCATAGGATTGAATTGGTCCCATTAACACTTTTGGTCAACAAGTCGTGTACAACATCATATTCAAAATTTATTACATTTGACGGAACGCCACTTTGCCATTAGAAAAGGGCGGGGTCCTTTATTATATAAATAAATATAATTGAGTAATCTAATTTTAAACATTTATATTTTATGGGCCTTACGTCAAATTGAACAAGTAACTGGGAACTGTAGAGTAAACCCTAGTTTGTTCACTTTGTAAAACGTATTTTATTTTTGTTAAAAATGTACTAATATGTGTAGTAACCACCCTGTATATTTTGAATTCTACGAGTCGGTATTATTGCATAAGAATTCATGAGTAATTTAGGTAGATAAAATGTGTATTATACTTCAAATTTGTTCGAATATTTTATATTTTCAGATAAAATGTTAGTTTTATGTTATAAAACAGACATTTGTGTATGTGTTAGTACAGTGAAACCTGAGTAAGCCGGAACCTGTGTAACACGGAATCCTGTGTATGACGGAAATTTTGGCGATTACCTACATATTGTAATGTAAAAATTGCTTATAAGCCGGAACCCTGTCTAACGCGAACCTACTTATGTTATTGCTTTGCAGGTATAAAAGAATTTATAGATGTTTACATAATTAGGTTATGATTTCGGAAAGCCCCATAATAAGGGCGAAATATTATCAATACTTAGAACCATTATCACAGAAATTTAGGTACAAAAGCAGTAAATACACAAATAAACCAGTATTGTGTAGGTACGGCAGTTTGAGTTTATCCGTGAAAGTGCAAACATTTCAAAATGGCAAACCGAAAAACGAATACATTATCGCTAAAATCTAAAATGGACTTAATTAAATGTAGTGACCAAAAAAAACTTACTCCAAAGCAATTGGTTATTCAATTTAAGTGCGGAAAAACGCAAGTGTATGAAATTTTGAAAAACAAGGAAAAAAGTAAAGAAGAGTGGATGCGTGGTGGTAATGGCGATATTAAGAGAAAGCCAAAGGAATCACATCACGACGACGTAAATTCAACAGTTTTGGAATGGTTTATGGATGCAAGGTCTCGCAATCTTCCTGTATCTGGAACAATTATTCAAGAAAAAGCAAGAGAAATTGCAAACCATTTTGGAAAAGTAGATTTTAAAGCTTCGAGTGGATGGCTGGAAAGTTTTCGAACACGACATAACGTAAGATTTAATCAGATCTGCGGTGAAGCTAAGGACGTCGACATGGAATCTGTGACTGAATGGACATCGCACATTACAGATTTAATTAAAGGATATACCCTAAAAGACATTGCTAATTGTGACGAAACTGGCCTTTTTTATAGAGCGCTGCCGGACAAGACAATGTGCTTTAAAGGTGAAAAATGTCAAGGAGGCAAACAATCTAAAGAAAGGTTAACCGTTTTGTTTTGCGCCTTTGCTGACGGAAGAATAGAAAAACCTCTAGTTATTGGAAAATCCCTCAGACCGCGATGTTTTAACAATACCAATGTGCCTCAGCTACCAGTTTATTGGCGAGCAAATAAAAAAGCATGGATGACACCAGTTCTTATGGAACAGTGGCTAAAAATTTTAAATCAAAAAATGAAATTTGAAAATCGACACATCCTTCTATTTTTGGATAATGCAACGTGTGATCCCAAAATAATACTATCCAATATAAAATTGTGTTTTCTACCACCAAACACCACAAGTCAAACACAGCCTCTCGATCATGGAGTTATACAAAACTTCAAAATGCATTACAGAAAACAAGTGCTGCGGTCAATTATTGCGAATATGAGATTCTCTCAATCAGCAGGAGATTTGGCTAAAAAAATATCAGTTTTGGATGCTATCAGATGGATTGATTATTCAGTAAAAAATATTAAACCTGATTGTGTTAAAAAATGTTTTGCGGCATGTGGAATCAAGCAAGATGGAGACGTTGACCTAATCGAAAATGTTGACGAAATTGACGAAAGTACAAAAGAAGTCGAAGAGTTAATTACTGAAATTAATCCCGGTTGTAATGTTCATGATTACATCACATTAGATGAAGCCGTTACAACAAATGCTGGATTTTAGTCCATAGAAGAACTGGTGTTAGAAAAAACTGCCGTGGAAACTACTGTGGCAGACGATAATGATGGGATTGGAATTGGTAAGCGATTTTTCTAATTCTCTAAAAAAATAAACAACTTTTTATTTACTCTTTCCATCTTAATTGGGCATTTGGCCAAGTAGAAATAAAGTTAAAATACATAATAAAAATAAGATAGGAAGATTTCAGTTACCATCACAAAAATAACAGATAGAAAAAATTATTTTCCCATTAGCTTTTCAAAACGATCTGTTCTTAAATTATTATTTTTATCTACAGGAACAGAAGTTGAAGAATCCGATCGGATAAAAAATTTTTCTGAAGCTTTGAGGAGTGTTGCAGCGTTAGAGGATTTTTCCCAAAGAATAGAGAGCGAACCGATGAGAAAGAAGATTTTAGAATTAAGGACATTCATGGAATCATCTTACGTATTACAAAAGAATAAAAAACAACTTACATTGATAGAAATGTGGAATAAATAATAATTTATATTGTGTCTAATAATAAATAAAAATATGTAGGTACATAATAATAATAACAACTATATATTAAATGTACGTATATTAGATTTTTTTTAATAAAATCATCACTTTTTTAAATCTACTATGTGCAATTTTTTATCTACCCTGTGTAACGCGGAATCCTGTATATGCCGGAAAATCGGTGCACGACCGTGCGATTCCGTTTTACACAGGTTTCACTGTATATTTTATTGTCATATTTACTGACTGTATTGATTACAAGTCGTTTTTCCATAAATTTTCAGTATACAAATTTTCTCTTACATTTTGTTACAAACTGACTAAAATTACTTTACATATTCATTTCTATTAGCTATAATTGTCTATTTTTAAAAATTTTATAGTTAAAAAGAAGTATCTGATGTTTTAAATCATTTAAAGTATTTTTTAATTCTTCCTCAGAACATGATATTTATTTATTATTGTATTAGTAATTTTTGGTAACTTACTTCGCCATTTTGGAGTTTAAAGTTTGGAATAACCGTGATATTGAAAGAAAGTTTTTTAATTTTATGTAACGTGAACTTTGACAATCTCAAATTAACTCTAAGAAGAACCAAAAACAAAACGGTAAGTAATTTATAATTTTACCTTTTTAGAGATTTATCCGCTGTTTCATATTCGTTGATAGATTTGCTGGATGAATACCTATCATCGTAGCCCGGATTGGTTCTAATGTTACACCTTGGTTTCCTTTTATCTTTTATGGATGAATGTCTGGAACTTGTACTGGCAGATGATTGGCGATAACTCGACGTAGTTTGAGAATCAGAGTCCAAGGAATGGCAAATCTATAAAAAATCATATAATATTCATAAAATTAAAATTTTGGAGTTATATACTATACAGGGTGTCATCGAAAAAGAGTAGAATATTCCAAGAGATGATAGTAATTATAAAAATGTGAACAAATGTTTATATGAATATTTGTCTGAAAATGAATATTATAGGGGCTTTGGAAATGTAAATTTAAGCTTGGTTTACAAATATATACACCGTGTCCCACGTAAGGCGGGCATTACAACTTTATGGAGAATAAATTAATTTGTATTTTCGCCATTTTCTGAGTATACATAATCGAATATGCTCTTTTGAATTAAAATAAAATGAACTCTGTGCAACTTCCGGTTATACCGGAAGTGACCACTAACTTCGTTATTTTAAAGGGAATACCCCATATTTTTTTTTAATTTTAGATTCAGCATGAAATTCTGTAAACAACGATACCCCATTTGCCTATTCTAGTTATAGCGGATTTGGCGTTATTCAATTTTTTTCTACATTTTTAGTCGCCGGTAGACATTTTCTTAAAGTCGTCTATCTCAGGTACTATATTAAAATTTTAACCAGAGGTAGTAGATGGGATGTACTTCTTGAGAATATTTAGTTATTCATTATTTGTTGTACGGGGTGTTTGCAAATTATTTTTAAAAATGAAATTTTGTTTAAAATCTCGGGATCTTCTTGAATTCGTACCAATAACCATTCGCATAATTCAGTTCGTCTTATTTGATCACCATATCGCAACTCATGAACTTTTCTTTGTGTATAGGGATGCCATTTATTTAGTGCTAAAATTCGTTGTATTGACCCTCGACTAATATTTAAATTATCTTGAGCCATTCTAATGGAGGCGTGAGGATACGCAGTAAAATACCCTAATACGTTAATTAGATTAACTTCTTCATCTCGGACATAATGTTGACGGTTTCTTCCCGGGTTTTGTTTAAAATTATTCAAAAACTTAGCTTCGATTCTATCAAATTTCTGTCTGTTCATTGGTGGTAAATGAGGGTATCGTTCATTAAACATGCGGCAGGTTCTACTTTTGATTCGATTACATTCTCCATGAATGTAAAATAAATTAAGAATATCTTGGTTGGTATATTCTTCAATATTTTCCATATTTTGAACGCAAAAAATACACAACTTAAATACATAGAAATATGACAATTCAGTTTGTTGACAGATTGTTGTTAAGCATATTTCCACGGCATACTAAGATAAAAAATTAAAATGTAAAACTATACTATATTATGTAGGTGCATGCGTAAAATTTAAATTTAAATTTTCTTAAAATTGGCGAGAGATAATTATTCGCTCCGTGCGAAGTCATGGAAAGGGAAGCAAAAGCGATACTAGCGCTAGCTGCGGATAATTCGTGCATTTTAGGGGGATATTTAGTAATTTTGACATATCAAATACACGTATACATTTTACTTTTTTTCAAAAAAGTAGGTAAAAACAACACAATAAGCAACCGGAGTTGCTGTGTTGAAAATTGTACAAATACTACCAAAAAAAAAACAGTGAAACTTATATAACAAATTTCACTAACAAAGTGGAAATTAAATCAAAGAAATAAATGGATAGGTGTACAATAAGAAGAAAAATTACCTTTATTTTTGTGATAATAACAGTAATGCTGGAAATAGTAGACATCAGAAACTAGAAAGTTTTTAAATAAACAATAAATTATCATTTTACGATGTTCTTTAATATCCCTTTATTCTTAAATGTTCATTCAGCAAGGACTAGATTTCAAGATTTCTGCCGTTGATTATAATATTTGGCTGGTATGCAATTTTGTGACTTACTGATCGGAAACCAGTTTTAATCATTCATTCTGTTTTCTTTAGAACAAAAATGAAAATATAAGTGCGATCCTTTTTATACATTTTAACTTCACGCTATTATAAATGGTTTCTTCAATGACAACTTATTAGACTTAGGCAACTTCTCATACATTTTCCAGTAAATACTGTTGCCTGCCTATATTTTATTATTGATTTTTAATGATTATACATAATTTTCTTCAATTTAAGCGTGAAAAATATATAATAATAATAATAATAATAATAAATTAATGTTTTAATTGTTTTATAAATCCATATACTTTTATTAAAACTAACATATATACTTTTTATTTACGAATTCTATTAAAAATTGTATTTGTCAGTATAGGCAGAAATACTCCTTTAATACCAAAACAAATTGGCGCTGCTGTCGCGCACGGAGCGAATAGGGAATTAATAGTGCAAATGAAGATCAATGAAGAATAATTTTCTGTACAAAATGAAATAAAAATATACAGGACTTCCATTTAAAATAAAAAAAAATTTCATGTTTAAAATATTTATTTTTTAAAATAATTTCCAAACACACAGTCGAACAAACGATGTACAAGTAAATTTAAAAAAGCAAATGTCTGCCGGCATATAAAAGTTTATAAAAAACTGAATAACGCCAAATACACTATAATTAGAATAGGCGAATGGGGTATCATTGTTTACAGAATTTCATGCTGAATCTAAAATTTAAAAAATATATAGGGTGTTCAATTTAAAATAAAAAAGTTTTTTATGTTTAAAAAATTTCATTTTTAAAAATAATTTGCAAACACCCCGTACAACAAATAATGAATAACTAAATATTCTCAAGAAGTACATCCCATCTACTACCTCTGGTTAAAATTTTAAGTATCTGATAGATATAGTACCTGAGATAGACGACTTTAAGAAAATGTCTACCGGCGACTAAAAATGTAGAAAAAAATTGAATAACGCCAAATCCGCTATAATTAGAATAGGCAAATGGGGTATCGTTGTTTACAGAATTTCATGCTGAATCTAAAATTAAAAAAAAATATGGGGTATTCCCTTTAAAATAACGAAGTTAGTGGTCACTTCCGGTATAACCAGAAGTTGCACAGAGTTCATTTTATTTTAATTCAAAAGAGCATATTCGATTATGTATACTCAGAAAATGGCGAAAATACAAATTAATTTATTCTCCATAAAGTTGTAATGCCCGCCTTACGTGGGACACGGTGTATAAATTTACCAAAATTTTTAAACTGATATAGATTGTATCTCTAAATCTGCTGGAGATATCAAAAAATTGATAGCCTATTATTTTTATGAATAAATTTTTTATGAACTTTTAAAATTTTTAAACGTTATAGGAATTTCTCATTGCATTATATTAAACTGATGACTTTTCATGTTTTATTTGTATTAATTTTTTTTTACTGATTAGTAAATAATAACGCTTACCTTATATTCAATGTCTTGGTACGCCCCAGTAGGATGTTTTGTGGTACTTGAATACTCCAAACTGGATTTGGTACTATTCAGCGAGTCACTTTTGGATGACTGATACATTTGTCTGTTCACCATTCCTGATTTTTTGGGTGGAGAGGCCAAATTAAAGTTGTCACTTGAACCTGTAACAAAAGTGAAAAAAATTGATTAAGAATACAATTTAGTTTTTACAATATAGTTTTTAATCAAAAAAAGAGAAGAATAATTATTCTGGTTTTAGTAAAGTTTTTGACCGTGTTGATCATAATTAGAAAAGTTTGGCATTTGTACTGCTTCTCTGATTTAAAAACAACTTATATCAGAAGCATTGTTATATACAACCCACTGTTCCTCTTGCATTCATATCACAAAATACCTCTTTAGTTGCTCCTTTCACAGTATCACTTACATCATTAGTATTTCTAGGACTGTTTATATCTAAAAAGTTGTGAGTCTAGTCTTAGCTACACAGCACTTGGGCCCTATCAAGTTTACTCCTCCATATTAATTTTGGAGCCCTTCTGTAAAAATACGATTTCTGCTTGCATAGGAGGATCATTAGATCTGGATATTTTAATATTTGCTTCTCTGTAACACTAATTATCTCTGATATACGTTGCAAACGATATTTATTACATTTTAATTGGTAGTGAAAAAGCGAAAATTCATACACAAGACCTTTGTGGCAAAATAGATGTCTATGTGTAAAAGCATCAAAGCTATTTAGTTCAAAGACGATTATATCGAGTTGTAAAGCAATCAACAGATTATTAAAACAGCGTCGTGATACAGTATTTTTCAGTGGGGTAATAATATAATCCAATTGTAGTACTGGGGGTTGAATGTCTTTCAATCGTATAGGATACATACTGGGTGGTATAGATTAAGATTAAGTTTTTTAATGTATGTTACTATGGTTTTAATTATGTTTTATGTAACTATTAAAAAAAAATACGTTTTTCAGACAGATAATCTGTGTGTATCACTTTCAATCAGAAATTTCTATTACTATTGAAATAAAGAAATAATACTAGGGTACGCGGTATTGTGCTATAAAGGAGTTTACGTTGACTGAAATATCATTATTTACAAGATATCAGGTCTTCAACAATACCCGAAACCCACGTGATCTGGTAACATCAAAAACGCAGCGAAAGGGCCTGATTTAGTTCCTTATATGTCAACTGTCGTTGTCAACACTGTCAAAAATATCATTAGCGTTCATTTGGGCTATTGAGTATATTTATATTATTTAAAGGTTATTGATTTTTTGCATTTTGTCAACACGCTATTATTCAATTTTTCCTCAAATAATAATAAACCAATCAGTTTTTTTTAGAGCTCATTAGTGCCTTTATTCTTTTCTATAGGCAAGTGTAAATTTATTTACTTTTATACAAGTTTATTGACAATATAATTTTCAGCTTGAAATGTTTACACCGGAACAAGATTCTTTTATTTTAATGGCACATTTTAGAAGTGGTTCTCGAAATGACGATGGAACTTGGTCATATTCAATTCAGAGTTGCATTCAACAATTTGAGGAACGTTTTCCAGCTGTACAAATAGAATATGATAGTTTTCGTCATCATAGGCACATTCTTGTTCAACGTTTTAAAACAAAAAATTACATTTGTAAAGAAAAAGGGTTTGGAAGGCCCACAGTAATAACCGAAGATGTTGTTCAAGATGTGCGAATTCGCATGGAGCAAAGTCCCACTAAATCGGTGAAAAAATTAGCAGCTCAAGCAGGTAAGAACATTGTTTGGGAGCTTGACTCTCTTATAATCTAATTTCATCGTTTTAGATTTATCTGTAAGAACTAGCCATACGATTGTGAAAAAAAATCTATTAATGCATCCTTATAAGGTTTCAGTACTGCAACAATTGTTTCCTGGTGATTTTGTTAAACGTATGAAATACTGTCGATGGTTCAATGAGCAATTAAATGACAATAACTTATTGGATCGAACTGTTTTTACTGATGAAGCATGGTTTCACTTATCAGGATATGTCAATAGTCAAAATTATCGAACATAGGCAACTGAAAATCCTCATTCATTTGTGGAGACAAGTCTATATCCCATAAAAGTTAGTATTTGGGTAGCAATTTTAAGAAGAAGAATAATAGGGTCCATATTTTTCTATGACACAATTAATGGCCAACGTTATCGAAATATTTTTCTTGAATTTATTGAACAGCTACAGGATGATCAACTACAATTGGGTTATTTTCAACAAGACGGGGCAACAGCTCATACAGCTAGAGCTACTATTGACCTAATAGAAGAATATTTTGATGACCGAATTATTAGTAAAGGATTATGGCCTCCAAGATCTCCAGACCTCATGCCTCCTGACTACTTTTTATTTGATCATATAAAAAATAAAGTATTCAGAAATTGTTTGCATGATGTAAATGAATTAGAGCAAGCTATAGTTAATGAAATTGAAAGTGTAACTGAGGAGCAACTGCATAATGTGTCCGAAAACATGAAAAGAAGGGTTAATGCTTGCATTGAAGCTGGTGGTGAACATTTTGAACACTTACTATGAATGGAATTCTAACATAAAAATATAATAATGTAAAGCACCATTAAATAATAATATGATTTTTTTTGTTATATCTCACAGATAACTGAATTTTGTTCTTATGGTTACAGACCATAAAAAAAAGAAGAGATATTTTATTTTAATTTAATTTAAAACATCTACAGCACTAACCCACATCTAGGGATTTTTACTATCATTTTCACCAATCGGTGTCATGACGATTTGATCACGTGTGTTTCGGGTATTGTTGAAGACCTGGTATAAACATAAAACACAAAAAATATGGTAAAAATAACAACATTTTGTTTGCAAATGTTTACGTTGAATTGAAAATACAAGTACATTCATCTGGAATAATTTTTAAATACCTACATAAAAGTTTATAAATCACCCTATCTATTTGCAGTTTTCTCTTCCGTGTCCATTCTTTACCCACGTTCCACTCCCAAAGGTGTTGGGCAAACATTAATGTTTCAATATTCTGTAAACAGTAAAGTTCGGTCTTAATAAATAATTGAGTAAGCCTTCACGTCTGTTACCTTCTTAAGATGTCAAACTCTCCCTCTTAGTATTTATTATTTACGAGAGATCCCAAGTACATTTAATTGTTTTAGAATGTCCTTATAGAGTCCTATTCTCAGATAGAAAATGTATGTTTCTAAAACGTGGTTATTTATTTAATATTTAGATTAATACAGGGGGTGCAAGAGTACAATAATTATTAGAATCAAGTTGTAAACTAATATTTTCACAACTTTTTTTGTCTACTATGAAATCGAATTGTTTCTGTTTTTTTTTATAAAATAAAGATTGTTTAGACTGAAATAGTTTACATGTGAGTCTAACACAATTAATTCCTTTAGTGATGATTTATCTATGACTGGTTTTAGAAAATCAACGAAATGCCATGTACAAGATCCGTTAGGATTTATCAATTCTATAAGTGATATACGAGTGCTGTATAAATAACACTGCCCAAAATTAGGACCTGGGGAACTCCAAAAATAATTTGTGATGAATGATGTAAAACACACGTTTATGCAAAATATGTAATGCTTCTGCAATATGCTTGAGTCCAACACGTTGATCTGATAAATCGCGGACACAGTCAATGTAAAGTAAAAAATAAAATAATATTATTATGTAAAGTTATGACTCTATACCAATTTTGATGCCATGATGTTGTGAAATTATTACCAAAAAAACGAAAAAATATTTTATTAAGACATATTTTGATTCACCCTGTACATTTCTTATGACAGCATATAATTAACTAAAGATCTAAAAAAGTAGATTTCTAAATATGTAAATTATAGAGAATCAACACTTTTGAATGCCACATTTCAACACAATACTTCTAAGTATACAACTCATTATTATGTACAAAATGAACCGTAATTCACTAATCAAAATATCCCATTTAGAACGTCCCTGGATAAGGACCTAAATTTGCAAAGATTAAGGCTCGGTTTTAAGTGATTAATCGCCCTTAAACTAGGTCGCAAGTTTAATGCCCTAAATAGGAAATATTTATATTTATATACAAGGGAATAAAATGATAGTGCTAAAGGTCGAGTGAACCAGATTGATCACACCAAAATTCTTCAATATCAGTATATTTATAAATATATCACAGAACATAATAATTTATTATTATCGATCTGAAAAAGAAATAAATCCCATCTTTAAAATTTTTGTTATTATTTATTTCAAAATATTGTTACGCAGCACCCTGCAGTAGCCTGCGGCTGTTATAGAAAACGTACGAATACAAAAACAAGTGCAATGTTACTCTTCGCCCTACAGTATGCTGCGGTCGTCATAAGTAAAAGTACTAACAAAAGAAGATGGAATAATCCAGAAATGTCTGGAAATATAATTCTACGTCAAAGAAAAGTTCGAAAAAGTTCGAGAAGGTTAAAGCAACCCATATATAAAGTGATCCTGACGTCAATTTTTCAGTTTTATGATAGACGTTATATGTTAATGTTATCAGTTGGTATTGATAAATTCTTTAACTTTTCTAAGTTCTTCAGCTGTCAGGTGGTCATAATTTTTAACTAGCTGTTTTACAAAGCTGGCGTCAACTGAGTTACTTGTAGTGGCTCTCCCTGTGGAACGGTCTTCGCACTTTATTATGTTTTCCACCGGTGTTCAGAGCCCTATTGCTTGGCCTTAGTCACTCACAGATTCTTCGCTGAGTCTCGCCAGGACGACAGCTTCATAAGTTTGGGGTACTTCTAGATCTTCTTTCACTAGGACCTTTATCGGTTGAGTCTTTTCTTCCGAATTTGGGATAATTTTCTCGTTTCAAATTACTAAAATCTTGTTTTGAAAGTCGATGATAAACTTTTGCATAATGTCCATACCAAGGACACATTGATCCTTAATATCGGCCAAAAATAAGTGTTCTATCAGCTATGAGGGTATTACCAATCTGTACGGTTGCTGATATCTCGCCCAGAACAGAAGTGGTGTGCCCTGTAGCTGTTTCGTGGCTTTCGATGCAAGATCCCTGTTCGAATGAAAGACTTGGTCGTTGCACCAGTATCAAGGACGAAAGTGCCTTCTTGGTTATCGATATACCCCT